TGTATCGGGAGTATTTCAAGAGACCACATTTAGTCATGGTAAGACTGTGTGGGTTTTTTTGTCTTTTTCTGTTATTTTTCAAATCCTGAAGATTGTCAGCACTTAACGTATTCTTTCCTACTCTGGTGCCACAAATAATGTTGCTACCCTATGAGGAAAGAAAAGTCTGATTCCCCATTTTGGAATAGAGGGTTAATTGAAAGAACTTGCTCCCAAGCTCATTGCAGTTCTAAGGAGAGGTGTTATGCTACTGCTGTTACTTACTTGTACCAGAAATGCATTTCCATCATGAGAATAAGGGATAGGATTGAGAAATTATGTACTTGTTCATATTTTCAGCATTATCAGTTAAATTTATAATGAATTGTTGATACATTGTTAGAGCTAAAAGCACGTGTACTTTGAGGATTGTGAATGTCTCCTATTTCTTTTTCTAAACAGTTCCTATAACATCGGTGTAGCCCTTTTCCCTGTAGAAGGCTCCCTTTTTATGCAAGAAGAGATCATATTTTGGGAAAGATGTATCCTAATGAAAACTCTTGCACCAACACTCTTTGAAGAGAATCTCATCCTTTTGAGTTTTTGAGGTGTCTTATATTAGCATCCCTAAGGATTTATTCCACGCTTTCTATCCTAATCTGCTGCCTGTATATTTGTGAAACACACTGAGTTTGCCAGTTTCTGGAATTTTTAGATTTTCTTTTTTTTTGTCCACAGCAAACAAGGCATGGAAACAAATCAGGATTTAATTTTGAAACCGAGGTGCATGTATTTGTATGAAAATACGTTATACACCCCCAAAGAGCAAACAGACCTAGAATTCTCTGAGCAAACAGACCTAGAATTCTCTCACCTGGGGGAGAATCACGTAGCCTGGTGTGATAGATTGGATTTAAGAAAAAAAAGTAGGAAACACTTACAGAAGTTCAGGCTGCTGGAGGCTGATGGGAGTTTTTTTCTCCTGGCCAATAACTGGCCATTTCTTAGAATTGACAGTAGTTTTGACCATTGAAAAGTGAGATCAACCTGTGAACACCACCCTTTAACACCTGAGCCCAGGAATTTCTGTCTCTCTTAGTTTCCGGCTTTGAAAGGTAACAAAATTCCAGCTAGCTCCTGTTTCCCCCCTCCCCAGCCATGTGGTCCAGCAGGGGCTGGGCTCGGCCTGACACAGTTCCTGGGCAGGGGGATGGAGCCTGTGGGTCTTTCCTTCCTCCCAGGCTGGGGCTGTGCTCTGCCATGGACCCCAGCCGTGGGGTGGAGCAGGCCATGGCTGCTCGCCTCCACTGCTCGCACAGATGGCCGCAGGCTGGAAAAAACAGCGTCTGCTGCTTTTCCAGTGCTGCTGAGCTGAATCTGACACCATGTATACCTGCTGCAGCTTGAGCCAGATTTTAACTGTTTCACTACCCAGATGAGACCTGCAGATTTAATATTTTTTCCAGAGAAAATAACGCAAAAGTGATCAACATGTAGACAGACAACATGAACTATCAGAGTTAGTGAAAAAAAGAATTAAGCTTCAGATGGGAAGAGAAAAAGGAGATGCTTTAATAAGCTGAAATATTATTTTGTTAAAGCTATGGAGATGGACAGTAATGTTCTGAAAAAACTCCTTTAATTCATAAAAGAGTATTTTGGGGGAAATGAAGTATTTCAAAGTGTAGATCTGAGCAAAAGTATCCATTGATAGAGCTGAGTAAATGGTGAAGTAGTTGTGATCCTATGAGATGCTGGACAGAAAAAGAGAAGTGAGAATTGCTGAAGACTTGTGGCCCCCAAGAGAAAAAGTGAAAATTTTGTTCCCATAAATGATCACAGAGACAGATGAAGAGAACCTTTGCCTTTAAATAACGTATCTTTAAAATTACACCCTTGAGTTCATGGCCCATGAACACACCTCAGTGTGGTGTGAAACGGGAGAAGACTGATGGCAGAGTTTTCTGGGCAGCTGGCATCAGAGGAATAGAAAGCCATGAGAAAATAGTTTTCTTGTGAAGAACTCTCCATAAAATGACAAAAGAGAACTTCTTTTTCTCAACAAAGACTGATGAAAAAGCTACTATATAGTTGGGACTGCTTTAACCATCAGGTTTTGTCTCTCTGTTGTCAATTAGACGAGGGAATGGTTGGGTGGCGGGGAAAAAGGGTTTCTGGAGTTTTTATTCTCGTTTCTTGTTCTTGTAGTTTTGTTAATAAACTTTTTTTTATTCCTTTTAAATTTTAAGCCTGTTTTGCCCTTCTCCTAATCCATATCTCACAGCAAGAAATAGTAAGTTTTTAGTGTTGTTTTTTTTTTTAGCTAGTGCTTTAAAACCACTACACCTGGAATTCCTGTGGGGTTTGTGAAAAACTGGAAATTGGAGGATTAACAGCTAGGTGTGAAAACACCATTGGTACTACAGAGACTTGCTTGGAGTTTGTTAATCTTTTATTCCATTGGAGTGATATGTGGAAAAATTCATAAATCATGCTCTTACAGCCACAAAATGTCTGTGTTTAAAATTTGTGGGTAAAGGTAATCTTAGGTCAGAATAATCCTGGGATTGTTACCAGACTTTAAAAACTGTATATGAAATGCAATAAAAAAGATGATGGATTCAATAACATTGCTCTTCAGTTTTTCTTCTGCCCTACATTCTTTTTCTCTATCAAAAGTTCTGTTTTTATTTATGCATAGTTTCTTATAAATGTTCTTGAAGGAGAAGTGGAAATCCTTACATGTTTTCTTTACAGGGCCTTCTGTCTTTACTGCCTCAGGTCAGTGTTGTATTTGAAGGGAAATCAAAGTAGTTAATCACTTCTTAGAACATGATTTTTTATATTTTTATTTGGTTTTTATTTTTTTTAGAGCCTCTCCTTTTTAGCATGCCGTTCCAAAATTGCTTTAATTCCTGTTGAACTCCTCTGAACTTGTTCCAGTTTGTGTTTTTAAAATACAGTGCTGAATATACTTTCCTTGGTTGAGACATAACCAGTTCTGAGATGATGGGAATAATGTCTCATGCACTGTGGAGAAAATCCTTTGAAGGAGCTTTGTGTAGAGCCTGTAGGACTTGTTGATGTGATACAGAGCGTGAAGATAAAATATATGTTTGCCTTTCTAAAGGCTCACTTTCTCCAGCTGACTGCGTTGCCTGCTACCTGAGCACTGTGTTCTGCAGTGATTGTGTCAATCACCAGTCTAGTTTGGGTGATTTTCCCAGAATGTGGCATGAATACAGTGACATTCTCCATTTGTGCTGTATCTATCTGCAGTCTTGTGCTGTCCACACAATCTCCATCCATCATTTGCGCACAGATGTGCTGTATTCTTGAGCTATGTATTAAAGCTCTGAATGTTGATAGAGTGCGTGAATGCTTGACCTATTAACCTTAACACTGATGGAAAAAATATCCAACTGTCTTCTTTTTCTCTTGGAAAATGAACCAGCAGAAAACCCAGCTGACACAACACCAACAAAACGCCTCGTAGTCCCTAAAAAGATACTTAGTTCTTATACCACATGAGACTGTTGAACAATACTTCAATTTAAACAACTATTTCTACTTACACTGTGATAGTGATGATTTATCATTGAATCACAGAATGCTGTGGGTTGGAAGGGACTTGAAGATCACCCAGTCCAAGGGAAGGGACAACCTCCCACCAGACCAGGTTGCTCCAAGCCCCATCCAGCCTGGCCTTGGACACTTTCAGGGACAGGGCAGCCACAGCTGCTTTGGGCAACCTGTGCCAGGGCCTCACTACCCTCACAGGGAAGAACTTCTTCCTAACATCCAGTCTCAACCTACTCTCTTGTGAACAGTCCCTTTCCATCTTTTCTGCATTAATGAAAGTTTATCCAGCCTATAAACAGTTTTAACTGAAGTCAATTAGCTTTATCAACAATTTAACATCCTATGAAGACCATAAAGGTTTTTTGGATCATCCTTAATTTACATCTCACGATTATAGGTATATATATTTTGTTAATAACCAATACCTTTCTTTCAACAGATTTGTATATCCTGAGTAATTTTCATTAGCCAAGTAACTTAGCCAGCCTTTTTTAAAAAGGAACTGCAGTTTAACTATAAATATATCCAAATGCCACAGAATTCAGGGCTACAAGTCAAAAGTGCTGATCAGTTTGTAAAATCCTAATCAGCCCCTCCATGAAACCTAGGGACGGACCTCTGTGGTAGCAGAAAAATTTCCAGAAATTTGCCACAGGCTTGTCCCAAGCTGCAGCTTGTTCTGATGTTGCCAAGACAGCTAAGAAGAGATGGGAAAAGCAGGAAGTCTTTGTTGGATTTAATCACAGTGCTGATTTGGAAAAGCAGCTTAACAATGGAAAATATTTTTTATGCTTTAAATCATAAACACAAAACTATATAAGGTCCATGGTAGGTCATGACTGAATTAAGATAGGTTATTTTCCTTATTAGGAAAGATAACCAATTATTTTGGAATCTGGTGGTGAGAAATCCTATTTCCTAGACATATTTACGTATTTCTTTATTTTTTATACATACATATATATCCAAACTAGATTATCTGATGGTTGTAGTACCATTTGTTGAGGAACTGGGGACCTGTTTGCTAGACCTGAAATCTTTAGATATAACTTTTAGGTAACATCTTCCCATCTTCCTCTATGAGAAAGCTTTTCCTGCATTTTTGCTTTCAAAAGATATTGGACTATATTGATGGGCAGTGCTTATGTTTTCCCCTGAAGTCATTCAAATTTAGTTGTAAAATACTCAATTTTTTGTATTTAACTCTATCAATAAAAAAGTACTTCTTAAGTGAGATCTTGCAGTCCTTGGCCTTGCATCCTCTGTGTGAAAAAGTTCTTATTTAGGCCCCTTGATCTGTTTTAGGACTTACAAATGATGGAGACATCAGGTAGGCTGTGGACATGAGACTGGAAGGAAGGACTGAATGTTCATTTCTGAGTGAGCGGGAGATAAGGTTATGAAAATATTTTAAAATCCAGATTTCTTTTGTATTCTAGACCCTGCTAAAAGATGGATGATGATGACTTTGGAGGATTTGAGGTATGCTGTTTGGGTAACTTTGCTTTGAAATTTAACTATTTTCAACTATTTTATGGAGATTCATAGCATTTTGTAAAATATGTAACAATTTCTTCTTGTTTCCAGGCAGCAGAGAGTTACGAGTTTGGAAATGGTGAAAAGCAGACCACATCACCTGCTATTGCTTGGGCAGCATTTCCAACAGGTATTGACATACTCACTGTAAAAAATCTCAATATTCTATTCCTGTCTTTATATACTCACTGTAAAAATTCATGCTTAGAAGGGTACATACAATAAAACAATATACAATGAAATAATAAAGTAAGCCAGCAGTCATAACTTGAGCATAAGAATGTTCTTGAGCAATTATTTTGGAAAGCTGCACTTCTCGAAGCTAAACTTTATTGAGGAATGAAAGAGAAATTCAGTTTATACAGTAGAAAAGGAATGGGACTTCTTCACTCGAAGGATATTCTTTACTTTTGAGTGTGGAAGATCTGTTGCAAATTGTTGGAAAACAAAAAAATTAAAGTTTAAAATAGGATTGTGATGAAGTCTTACTTGCTTTGGGGAAGAGGGGAGTGGGATGAGAATGATCATTTTTACTTACGCCATTTATATAGTTGAAAAATACATTACAAATCTTTATCTCAAGCAGAAACATTAGGGAACTAATTTATTAATTTATACAAGTGCCTGGTGCCTGTCTGGATTTTAGGAAGTTGATAAAAGTTTATTGTTAAATGTATATTATCAGTAGATTTAAAAGATTTTGGAGGTGTTACTGATTTTGTTATGGTCTAGATTTCACTCTTTTCACAAAATGAAACATCACTTTTGCAGCATCAGGGGAAAAAAATAACCAACAACCCACATTGTATTGTGCAGAATAAATTATGCAAAATAAGGCAGGGACTTTTCTCAACATGAGCTCTTTATAAATCATGTTCTTAAAATATTTTTATTAATTTATTTCTGGCTTTCATCTATTACAAAGTAATTAGTTTTATTTGTCATTGAAACAGAGGAAAACAAATACTAAGGAAAGGCTATTTCTCCAAGTAATTTCATTATTCTTCTTGTCATTTTGACTGATACTTAAAATTACTCCTTAAGTTCAGTAGATGTCTTAATGTGTTTAATAAATTAAATCAAATATAGCTGTGCAGTTTCTGTCAGTGGACTCAATTAAAATCCTGTGAAGTGTGTAGAATTGAAATTATTCGTACATAATACAGAAGTTTTTTGTATGATTTTAAGTGACACAGAAATCCTAGGCCAAGGTATATTATACCAAGGTATTTTAAGCATTTCAAAATTAAAAGAAAACTCCTCTCTTCTGGTTATTTTGTTACTGTAAAATCTCTCTGTGACTTTTTCATGCACATCTGGCTGTGCATAAATTAGTTCATTGCAATAGGCAAGGTTTTAATAGGATTGGTCAAGCGTTTCTTCGGCACTGACTTGCAGATTGATGTTTTACATAATAGAAATAACTGAATTGTCTGCCCAATGTTATCTTATATATAGAGATGTTCTTGTCTTACCTTAGAAATTTCTTAGTAAGGCTTGCTGAAAAATTCATATGTATTATGATGCTATTGAGTTTATTTTGATAAATTTAGGGGGTGATACCATTGCATACACCCAAGATCTGATGAACTTTCCAGAGTTACTCATCTTGTGAACTTCCTACACATCTGATATTTGGAGGTTATGAAACAAAACACTGAAACCTGTGGCCATATTTTTTTACTGTGCAGGCAGAATTCAGAAATTATTTCTAAGGCCTCAGTGATTTCAGTGCAATTTTGCCCTTGAAACTGGTCTTCAGCTTCTTACTGTCGTTTTGATAGTATGGACCATGTGGCTGTAGATTTAGAATGCTAGGATAGTAGATGTAATTACTTTTCTTCTAGAATAGTTTGGCTTTGGAAGAATAAAATATGGGCAAGAGCTTTGTGCTGTGAGTTATCAGAAATCATCCTGAGAGTGCATCAGGGTGATTTTTCCCACTGTGGACACAAAACCAGTTTTAAACTCAAACTTTCTACCTGAACTTTACTTTAAACTGAAAATGTTCAGGGATAGAGTTTTCAGTGTATACAGTATAATTGAAAGTGTCCTTGAATTGTAATATCAAGACAATTGCAATATCACAAGGGGAGGTGAGGAAAGAAATTTAGTTTTGTTTCTTGGGTTTTTTATTTTTAACAGCTGAAACCTACATGTAGGGGAACTGTGCTACAAGTAGTTTGCAACAATCTACAGAAGTATGTCAAATAATTATCATATGGTCTTTTGCTCAGAGCCCTGCTCACATATTAATTTGTATATATAATTAACAACATAAATGACATCTTAATTGCTGGATATAAGTAACATCCACATAGTAAATACTACCCATGTGATACATCTGATATTTGATGTCTTCATTCTGAAATTCAGTACAAAGGAGAAGACTCAATGGAATGTTGATTTAACAGTTCACATTCATCCACCTGGTTTTGGTTTCAGAATTTCTGATCCCCCAAGGAATTTTAATAATTGTTTGAGCTTCATTACCAGCATAAAGACACAGAATTTTCCTTGCATTAGCAAGATTGCAGTCTGTCCCTGATCTCTGCCTCTGTTAACAAACTGCATGGTTCTGGCATACAAATGTATGACAGAATATTCTTAATATTGGGAATCCAGGGCTTCAGAAATTATTAGATACTTTTTAAGTACAATTCTGGAAATACCTTATATCTGCATCTTATTTCAACCTTCTCCAGCATATGACTTTTTGATATACCTATAATTGAGTGCATGCTTCTTTTCCCTATAGTGCTGCAGCTCTGATCAATGAACAATAAGTTTATTTGGAAATTCAAGGCTATCGGATTTAGCCTGTTGGAGTCAGGTCAGGTAATTCCAACAGAAGCAGGTTTTTGTTTCAGGGGGTGTGAAATTGTTCCGTTAGGGTAACTAAGGCATGCTAAGCAGGAATTATTAAAGGGTTCTCTTTATAAGTGAATTCTGAGCTGAACTAAAATGCAATTACACCAGTATGTATGCAAGAGGAATGAATTAAGAGAGCTTGAATTACAGACAAAGCACATGTAATTCTAGGAATGTCTAATTTATGAATCTTTAACATTGCTGAAAAGTAAAAAGAAGGCTTTGTAAAAAAGATGTTTGAATGATACCTTGGACAGTTGCTACCTTTTCTTGTCATCTGCAAGGTCATGTGTTTAGTTGAAAATTTTAAACCACAATGTTCAGAAGTGCTCACCAGTTGTTGCTCATTTCCTAGGTTTCATTTTGATAACTTAAGGAGTGGGGATTTTGTTTCTGGTTTGGTTTTTTTTTTCCTCTTTAAGATGCTAAGCATTCATTAATATAATTAGAACTACTGAAAGCTCCACCTGATTGCAGAAGATTCCATGTAAAACTGCTGAAAAATGGAGTTTTCTGTCTAGGATTGGACACCCCAAAATACGTGAATACCTAAAGCTCTAATCTCAGCAAGTCTACATTCCTCATATGTGCCCAGTGTAGTAGGTCAGTTAGTGCTGGCTAAACGCCATTGCACCTACTAGAATATATTTACTCATTTTTGTGCTGTGAGATACGAATAAGGAGAAGGAGGTTAAAACAGGCACAAACTTTAAAAGGGTACAAAGAAAACTTTATTAACAGAATTAAAGAAAAATAATAAGAAAAATTAGAATAAAACCTTCAGAACACTTCTCCTCCCCCCCCCACCCTCTTTTCTTTCCCACTGACAAAGTTAAGAGACAAAACCTGGGACTTTGTCAGTTTACCACCTCTAGAATAGTCTTTCTTCAGTCCATTTAGGGAGGAGTCTCTCTTGCCATGCCATGGAGACTTCTCCACAGAAACAGTTCTCTCGTGGTTTTTAATTTCTATGAATTAGCAGCTGCCTGGAAATCTGCAATCATGAAGTTCCTCCCATCTTTGACAGCCTTCCCACAGCTGCATTCCTGGACCATGTCAACTTATTGTGGTGGTGTTTTTAAGGATGAGCTGTTCCAGCACAAAACCAAAAGTTCTTTTAATGTATCTCTGAGAACAGGTTTTCTTCTTATATTCCTGGGGCAAGTTTTCTCATCTCTCTCATTTCTCTCTGTTCAAATTTATCATTGGATCAAAATTACTTCAACATCTGCTTATTTCAGCACTGGTGCCTCTGTTCATGGCTGTGGTTAGAACGCTACATTCCCCCAATGCATTTCATGAGTTACAGGGAAAAAAGAGTCTTATGTATCAATTATATCTTCTCCAAAGCCTTACAAAAAGAATTTCAGCCTAAGACTAAGGCATCTCCTCAATCCCCTCCCATCTAGAAGTTGACTCCTTCTTTACTGACTTCAGAGTCCCATGTTTTCTCTATATGTCTTCCCCCTTTCCTTCTTCTGATTTGGAGGAGAACTGGTATCCGTAGGTTTATTTCTTCTTAAGCTTTATCAGTTGAAACAGTTTTTTATGGAGTTCTGCAGTGCTGAAGGGTTGATCTGATCCAGGCTCTGCATCGGGGAGATCGCTCCCCGTGCCTGTCACTGTTGCTCATGTGGTCTCTGCCGACACTGTGCAAGCTCTGCCGGCCGCCGGCACTACCCCATCCCTTTCCTTCATGCAGAGCACTGGGAAAAAGAGGAAAAACACCCCAAAACCCATGCCGCTGCTTTTGTCCTTCAGTCCGCAGCATAGCCAGCTAAAAGCAGCTAAGCAAACAAAGCCCATTAACAGTCATGCCAAGATACCTGTAGCCACGCAGCGCTGCTTCAGCTGCTCCAATCCCAGCCGTGGGGCCCCAGCCACGTGGCCGCTCCTGGCCCCGGGATGGTGGTGGCCTCACGGCTGCTCCTGGCCTCGGTGTATGCAAAGTTCATTTTGCGAGCCATGCTGAAATAGCCTCAGTCATGCTGCGCTGCCTGGGCCGTGCACCCCAGCCGCGCCAACCTCAGCCGAGCAGTCCCAGCTGTGCAGTCACCCACTGCCCTGGGGCAGTCCTTGCGGCACGGCCCAGCGGTGGCAGAAATCCCAGCCAGGCAGCGTGCCAACCTGGCCATGCCCAGCTGGCCCAAGCCAACCTGTTCAAGGGCCGGAAGCCAAGAGAGTTTTCCCGGTCTCTGTTAATCTTTAAACGTGCTTTTCCTTGGCGGCGTAGCTAGCTCTTTTGAGTGGTTTAACTGGGTGTCAGTCTTCCAAACTAGGCAGCTGATTGGCTCTTCAAAATGAGCCTATTGATTGGCTCCTCCCAGTGTAACCACCCTGCAGCCGGGGAGCTTGCACCTAACTTAAAACCAGACTTTCTTAAACCGCAACACCCAGTCTCTGTGGCTGTTTTTTGAGATAAAGTATTTATATGTGACCTATGCCTGTGCTATGGTAATAGCACCAAAGGCTGAACATTTTCATCACAAGGACCATGCTCAGTTTTTCCATGTGAGTTGACAGTTTTAGTAAGAGAACCACTTGCCTGCTCAGTCAGAAATTGCCTGATACATTATTTTAGTTGTTTTTCCTTCAGATGGAAATTGATTTAAAACTGAGACTCAGGGCATTAAGTGATAGTGTAAAGCTGAGACTTTAATTTTTGTTTAGATACAAAAAGATCATCTTCTATGTACTTCAATGCCACTTGAACTAGCAGAGTAGGTAATTTTTATAGGAAGCTGCCTTTGAAAGCAGACACTTGGAATGGGAGGGGAGTTTTATCTTAAGATACATAAAAGAAAGCCAAAACTCGTTTGTGGTTCTGGAGGAGTTAACTATTAAAATGCAGTTACCTAAACTGCTTCCTGTTCTGTTGGCTGAAGTGCTCTCCTCTAGGCTTTTCAGCCAACTTTCTATCTTCTGCTGAGCTGTGATTTATTTCTTTTTCCTATTTTTTTGGTCATGTCCAAATCTTCTATCATTGCAGTTACCCTACTGATACTTTTCTCCCTTATGGTCTGTTTTCTTTCTTCTTATCATTTGATGAGGTTTGTATGTTCCTCTATGTTATACCTGAGTCCTAGAACTGGGAGCTGAAGAAGATGGGACAGAGAGAGTGCCTGGATTCAAGAATTAGTGTGTCCTTTTGAATGCCTTGAGGCCAGTTGTACGCACTGTTTTGTGCTGAGTACTTTTGCAGTATTTAACAGTGATATCCAGAGGCTGAGCCTTGCTCCAGGCTAGTGGCATCTTTTACATGTTGCCAGAGTTGTAATAATATTGGGAGCTGCGTTTTCTGAAACAATTGGATATGCTTTTTTTGCCTATGGCAAAGACACACTCGGAGCTGACCATGTCAAAGTTTGCAGGACTTTGCTATTAAATTTAAAATGTAGGCAAAACTTTCTCTTTTTCCTTCTTTTTATTTAGTTTGTTTAGTTTGTCTTTTTTTAAAAACAAGATTTACTGTTGTGCCAGGTTGGTAATGTTGATCCACTGTTTAGGGGTTTTCTGGCATAACTGGAACTTGGTATGGAAGAGCTCTCAGTCCAGTGTTAATGCCACTTAAATTTTATTAGCTAGAGAGTTATTTACTTTGTTGTCTTTTTACTTCTTATAAAATATAAAGCTGTTTTATCTTGTGTCTTGGCAAGGTGTTTGTATATGGCTTCTAAGACAGTTGTGGATTTTTTTAAGTTTAAAATGTATAAAGCTTGAGAAATTATAAATATACTTCTCCTATTGACTGAAACTGATTCAAGATCATGCTGAAGCTGAAGGGCTGTCTGAATCTAAAGAGACAGAGTTACAAGTGGTCTGTTTGAGAGCTGTTGCCTTGTAAAACCTCTGTGGAAATTAAAAGTCTAAATTTATTGTAACTACAATTTTGAATGTCCTTAAGTTGATACTACTGAAAACCACAGGCACTGTGTGAAATTACTCTAGAGTGCAATTGGATTATAAGAAATATGTACCCTTACGTTGGTATGACTAGACTTTTGATGGATTTTACTAGGCATGGATTCCAGAAACAACTAATTTTTGGGTGGTTCTTCATATTATGTGTGTTTTCTGTTTCTAGTGCCTGAAGTCCATAGATCTCCTGATATTCTCCTGGAGCACTCTGTGCCTTCTTCCTGCCTGGTTCCTTCTGACTCCTTCATTTTATCAAGTGATAATGTGGCAACAGCTATTCAAACAGGCAAGAGTGTGATAAATCCAGCTGTTCCTGAAGAAGAGGTAAACCCACAATTTTTGAGCTTCAGTGCAGGAACTCAATATATTAAACATCAGCATTGCATCTTTCCTGTACACATTTAGATTGAAATGTGTTTTAAGAGCAAAAGGTCCTTGGATTTCTGTGATGCAGGCTTTGAAGCAAAATTATTTAAAAAGTATTTATGAAGCCTATAACTGAGAGAAACCATACTGCTGTGGTATGAACTGCAAGAGAGATTACTGTGTTAGAGATATTAAAGGCATGCTGATGGTGATGAGTATGCAACACCAATAGAAACATCAGTAGAAAGGTTCTCTCAGCTGGCTACTGTTAAAGCTGAAAAGATTACAACTGTAGTTATATATCTTATGTTTTCCCAAAGTGGTTTTAGGGCTCGGTTTTTAGGATTTTCAAGGTTGAGGTTCTGAGCAGCCTGTTCTAGTGGAAGGTGTTCTGCCCCTGCTAGGGTGTTGGAATGAGATGCTCTTCAAGTCCCTTCCAACCCAAACCATTCTATGATTAGAGAATTAGCATTTAATCTTTACTTAATTATAATCAAATTAATTTTATGGGGGTTGCATTTTATTTTGTTTCACTTTATTTTTTCCCCATTACATTTAAGGTTGGGGTTTTGGTTTGGTTTGGTTTGGTTTGGTTTTTTTGGTATTCTGACACAGTCCTAGTTGTGTGACCTGTGCCTGCAGTGCTGCTGAGAGCTGATCTTTGTTTCTTTCTGGGGTGTGAAAATGTTTAGTTTACAACTAGGTGAGCAAGGAAGGGAAAAGCCTTTCTGCCTGGAGATTATCACAAGAATTTTCTCAGAATCACAAGAGCTGCTGCAGATGAGACTTAAATAGATTTACCCTTCTGAGTTTTTTTTGCCATTAATTGCAGTGATCCCTGTTTGAATATGTTAATTCATTGTAAACTTACTTGTTTTGGGATGTGGAGTAGTATACATTTGAATTAAAAAGTGTTCTTGCCTCACTATGAACCAATCAGTGTTTTGGTTGTAAAAACTGTAAAAAAATGTTCTTTGTAATTGCCAACCCTCCTGTTTTCAGCACTTCCTTGGTTTCTTATTCTTCAGGTAGGCTTATCAAGTCTTACAGCTGTGCCTGGTGAAAGCTGAATTTCATGATTAAGTCAGATCTTCGTTTCCTGATGATTTAAAAGCTTATCTTTAGAACTGTTTAATCAACATGCACAAAATACAGGTTTTGCTTTTGAGTCTTATTCTATTCCTTTGAGGAGCATCTGTATGTTCACACTTCCAGAAAGACTGTGGCACCAATTGTGAGTGAATGAATGAATGAATGAGTTACTATTTTGTGTTTGCTCCCAGACTAATGTTCTGAGGAAAGCCTGTAAAAAGTGAAGAAGAGATGTGCCCAGATGCAAATGATATCAGAGAAATTTATAAATCAAAAAATTAGTTGTTTGGTTTTTTTTTTTTTTCTTGAGAGGGAGGAGTGTTTGTTTTCTTTTTTTGACTGAGTAATCCAGGGTAATTTTCTGTGTTGAAGGCTCTTCATCTGACTTTTTGACAAAGTTTTGATAAGTAAATTTCTTTTACTGGCAGGATGATCAAAAAGTGATTTTCTTCAGCCACCGCAGATCCTGCCTTTTTTCATTTTGGCTAACAGTGAATAACTTCTGACCTTTCTTGTTTGAGCTAGGCCAGCAATTTTAGCTTTTGTATTCTCTGGAAAGAGCACTTGGGTTATTCCAGAACACTAAGGCTTAGGGGTATTTTTTAAAACTATAAAATCATTTAGTTAGGTAATCTTACAGAAAAATAAGAAATACACTTTGTTACTTCAGACTAAATGTATGTGCAAATTCTAGTTCTAGTCCATGTTTCAGTTTTTGTCATCTTGTTCTGTTCAGCTACTGACAGACCCCGTCATTCCATAAATTCTCTGTAATGCAAAATTAGTACAAATTAAAGAACTTTATTAGCAAGTCCTGCTGAAAAGAGTTGAGAGCAGATTCTTTACCATTATTTTGAAATGGAGTTGACTTGGCACTAAGGAATAAATTAAAGGAAAATGGTGGGCAGAAAACTAAAATAAAATATTCTTATACCTATTAGAGAGTAATGCTAGAAGTGTATTCTTTTATAATTCTATGTCTAGAGCCTCCTGAGATTTCATATTAAAAAATCCTTTGCTATTATATGTTGTATGCATGTTCCATACTCACAGGTTTTAGTGGTGCCAGACTAATCTTGAGTAGTACTCAGAAATGGAACTGACACATGGCTTCTCTTTGCTTCTTACAGGAGAATTCAGAGCACAAACTGCAGTTTTCTCTCTGCCTGTTTTGTCTGCTGTATCTTACATATTCATGTACAGTCAAGATCTCAGTTAATTTTGTTTGTTACTTTGAGTCCTTTGAGAGATATTTATTGGAAAGTCAATGAATTACCTGAGTATATTTTTGGAATAAAAGGTCCTAGGGGGGAGGATTAGGTCAGATCAGTCAAACCTCTCTTTAATGTTTCTTTCACCATCCAAATCTCAAGTGTGCGTGGCTTTCAGGTTGTTTAAAAACTGGCAGCTGATTTAATTTTTCAGCTTTTTCCTTGGAGTTCTTTGCTGCAAAATGAACAATTATTTGACCTCTCCTTTTAAATAAAAAAAAATATTTTTTAAGGGGGGAGAAATAAAGCTTTGACTTTTGTCAATTTTACCACAAAATGTTTTAAACATCACCTAATTTATTTGTGTTTTTTTCTGAAAGTGTGGGATTATCCATCAGTGTTTCACCTGTTTTCTGTTCTTCTCCAGTCTACTGAAATAACAGTAACTAAATGTTGTAGAGATGTCTGAATTACTTTTATTTTATTAGTCTAGCCTAAGGATGAGATATTTCTTTTAGCACAAACCCTCTGTATGCCCTTTCTGTGATCACTGTTAGCAGTGTGCACTGGGTGAAAACGTGGAATGACTAATCCAAGGAGAGTTTGTTTCCCTGATGCATTGAGAGAGATGATTCAGTTCCACTTTTCTCCTATGAATTAGATTCAGGCAGATATTCCAATTGCCTCTTCAAATGTAATTGAAGACAAGACTTTAGCTGATGTTGAGATAAAGAGAACAAATGAACCTAAGAGCTGCCTTCAACAAGCGGTTGCAAACCTCGAAATCAAGCTTTGCAGTGCTGAGGAAGAAAAACTAAAAATCAAACAGGTATGAATAGTCTTTTTGAAGGAAAACACTTAGCATTTATATAGGAATTAAATATAGGTGGAGCTGGGAAAGGTTTAAAATTCATTTGAAATTCATTTTTTCGTGGAAGTTTGCGAAGTTCCACAGAAACTGGCCAAATTTAGAATTATAAAATCATTGATGTTGGAAAAGACTTTGAAGACCATTGAGTTCAACCTGTGAATGATCCCCACCTTGTCACTAGCACAGAGCACTGAGTGCCACATCCAGGCATTCCTTGGATCCCTCCAGGGATGAGGACTCCAGCATCTCCCTGGGCAGCCCCTGCCAATGCCTGACTCTCCTTTCCAGGAAGAAATTCCTCCTGATGTCCAACCTGAACCTCCCCTGGCACAACTTGCGGCTATTTCCTCTTGTTCTGTCCCTTGTTCCCTGGGAGCAGAGCCTGACCCCCACCTGCCTACAAGAGATAAGGTCCCCTCAAACCTCTGTTTTTTTCCGCTGCTCCCTCAGCCTTTTCTCATCAAATTTGTGCTCCAAACCCTTCCCCATCTTTGTTTTCTAGATACTCTCCAGAGACTGGCCAGAACTGGGCACACCACTCAATGTAGCTAAAATACTTCTTTTTTTATGTCTGGTGTCTTATTTTAGGCTGAATTTTTCTGAAGTGCCAGGGAAAAAAAAAAAACACTTTTTTAGCCTAACTGATAAAAAAAAAGGAAAAAAAAATACAAGCTTTCTCAGCATGAGCTTTGTTTTGATTTTTTTGGGGGTGGGAGCCCTAGTAGCTAAATTCTTCATATTCCTTCTGATCTGAATACAATAAGAGCACAAAGCTGTGCCTGTAGTTACACATCTGAGTTAGCAAAAGGTCAATGAGGCATGGGAGAGTGAGTTTAACTTCTGTTATTCTTAATACTCTTTCTTGGGAGGCCTCAAGTTGTGCTGGGGACGGAGCAAACGGCTTGTCGGAAATGAAAATGAGGGTAAATAACTGGAGCCAAGGATGAGGAGGTCTGCAATGGGCTGGTTTTGCTAAGTGTATGATGGAAAGTTTGGAAGGGAAGCAGGAATACAGAAGAGGAGGCAGGTGGAGAGAGAGGCTTTGGATTGGTGTTCCACAATCTGTTTCTATCTCACCATTGGAATCTCTCAAACTGTTTTGACTATTTTGTCCAAAAGCAGGGTTGAACTAAGCAGACCTGCTCTTTCTGTCCTCCTCATGACCCTCTCAGTTTGAATAACTTTGTTTGAATAGCTGTGCAGTGACCTGGGAGGTCATTTGTTTCTATACTGGCTTCCTGCATGGCTTGGAGAAATAATTGCTCTTGAGCAACTGAAAGGGTGCCAGCAGCTTATGTACAATAGAAATGACTGCATTAAGGAAAAATAAAAATCTTTAGCTCTTTGTACAGCAAATAATTTTTAAGTTTGTCAGTGGTGTTATTCTTCCTCTCTATTGGTTCATGTTGTGCAGGCTTCCAGAGTGGCTATCTGCAAGATCCCAGAATATTTTAAGATTTTATTCATTTTGGAGATGTAGAGATCATTTTATACATGCATAAATGTCATAGGATTCCTGTCTTTTCAGTGAAAATATTTGCTGGCAGTACATTTAATATGCTGCTTTTCAAGAGCAGAAAGGAAGAGCAAGATATTAAAAAGATGAAAATAATTGGAATAAAATATAATAATTCCAGTTGGAAGGGACCTGTACCAACTGATCCAGCTGCCTAAACCCTTCAGAGTTCAGAAGAAGTTAGAGGATGTTATTAAGGGCACCTTGGCCACTTCTTATAGGTCATTCCTTAAACATGGGACATGCCTTGGATTTTAAATACCTCACTCTTAAAAATACTGTCTCAATTTAAAGACTGCAGTCAGAATTTTCTTGCACAACCCTTTATCTCTGTGATAATTAAGACAGCAAATACTACAGTTACCAGAAATTAAATTATTTTGAATGGTTGAATGAATCTGTATTTTCACAATTCAGAAAAGTTTGTAATTTCATGTGTTATATTTTACAAACTTTATAGGAATTGGAATATTTGCTGGAAAAACATAGTGTGCTAGAAATGGAATTCTTGAAGGAAAAAAAAGAAAAAGTGCTTCCACATCAAGATCATTACAAGACACTCCAGGTAATTTCTTTCCTGCAGTATCTTTGTTTTTCAGGAGGGTTTTGTGTAGAGTATATTTATATCCAACAAATATTCTTTTAGGTACCTGTGGGCCTGCTCCAAAGCCTTTTGAATTTAAATAATTTCTTTTCAGAGAAAAATTCAGAATTTCAGAGCCTGATATTTTACATTAGCAGGAATGTTAGTTTAATATCCCCCTTGCCTAACCACATTTTTGTAACTCAGATCACTCTTCCTTTTTAGGGTCTACATCATAAAACAGAAGAGAAGAAAACCACTTTTCTCAGTAGTTGTGTTAAACAGCATAACTTAGTATGTTCTAGAGTGCTATGGCCAATTGTTTGTTCTGTCTTACCTAACTTCAATATGGAATTATTCATGCAGCATAATAAAAATCTGTAGTGTAATTAGATGATAGACAATGGAATTAGAATTGTTTCCATTGTAAAAGTTAACATCTTCCATTTAATACATGTGTAAAATTTCACATCCTAGACAAAATTCTCACTGAAGTTTTCAGTCATCTTCCAGTGTTAGAGCAAAGCAAGCAGATGTTTTTTTTCCAGCATTTCAGAAGTTTGTGTCTGTAACTCAGCTTCACTTAATTTTTTTGCTGCTCTGGCTGGTCTTTAATAGCTATTGCATTGTTTCCCATTTGTACTTAAAGGGTTGCTGTAATAATTTGTTTTGAATTCCTGACAGCGGTATATTCTGGAATTTACAGTAATATAATTATCTAATACTGTTCTTTTTCCTTTTTTGTGTGTAACACTTTACTCAATGAAAGAAATGTTTGCTTAACCATGATATAAAAGGATGTTTAACTTGAAACCCTCATGAATTATGGTGTACCATAGTGGTTAGTTATTGGTTATCCTAAACAATAGAATGGGTGAATTTTATGTTGTTAATACTTACTTCTACTTGAAGAACACTGTTATTTTGAATAGTGGAAATGCTACTGAGGTTTGCAACTATCAGTCTGTATCATAATTCTTTTAGTCAGGTACTGAAGCTTTTAAAAATGGCAAGAAAAGAGTCATAACCTTTAACTTACTGTGTAGAAATGCTCATGTGCTTCCTCTTGTTGTCTTCTGGGTACAGCCAGAATCAAACCAGAGAAGGAAAGTGAGTCATGCTTCTAAGAGCTGCCTTTTAAAGTTACATTCATGAGACTTGAATTGTGGATACCTTCTGTTATTACAGCTTTTATTTTCTTTTGTCTTTCTTTTCTGACTCCTGCAACATGAGGGTCACCACCTGTGGCCACACACTGAGCAGAGCTGGCAACTCCCAAGGACAGATGTCTGTCCCACCGGCTCTGCCTTTTCCAGTAGAAGCAGCTGGTTATTAGTGATGTTGACCTGAAAAGCTTTAAAGCAGACTGCAGTGGTGCCTCTGGCACAGACTCTCAGGATGACATTTCCAATGGTACTGATGCCAGCATCCAAAGCTGTAGGTGTGCATTGACTTAATTCCTTTTAAATTAATTTGCTGTGTTAATGTTTGAGTAAAAAGTATAAAACCAATGCCTCAGGAGACTTTTTGAATTGCCTTTTACATGAACACGCACTGTTTCATACACCTTTATATTTACCAATTAACTGGCTTCTGGCACTTGTGACAGGAAATTCTCAAAAGCTGCTCTAGATATAACAAAAACAGTCAGTTAATCAGATTTTTATCAAGGTGATATTTAGATAAGAACCTTTTCTTTTTTGAAGGAACTACTGTGCTTAGTTATGAAAGAAGATTTCATTTATCTTTGTCAACTAAGTCAGTAATCTAATTTTTCTTTACGTCTTTTCCTGTTGGTTTCTGCCTCAGTCAAGGGTAACAGTTATGTTATCACAGTTTCATTCTCACAAAATTGCATCAATAAAATATGCTTTAGGTTTTTTGATATAGAAAAATAATAACTTTGAAAGGCAAGGTAGGAACATAAAAATACTTTCACTGAGCTGGGTTACCATTATAATGAAGCAAGTTTTGTTCTGGACTAGTCACAAACTTTCTTCATGATAGGTGTGAAAAACTTTTAAACTGAATTTGGTAGTTCTGAAAATTGAAGAATTGAAGGGTAGTGATAATCACTATTCCTAAGCATGGGAGGCAGAATTCCAAATCTTTGGTATAGTGTTAACATTTAACCAGTGGGTGACAATAGAGTATTGCCACATTTATCATTGTGCAAAACCGAAAGGTAAAAAGTTTTGTGTTTCATCTAAATAAAATGAGCTTTGAAAAAAATCAACATTGAGAAGACCGTGTAGTATTTTCACATTCTTAACATTATTTCTGTATGTAAGTGCAACAACCAGAGACAGTGAAGGGGCAGCAGTGGGTTCAAAAACAGAATAAACAAATTGGTATTAACTAGTATTATAGAGTTGTTTGGATATTTAATGCAATGGTCTCTTTGAAGACCATTAGTTCATATAAGCTAATATGAATTCATATAAGCTAATAAAATTAGATAATAAAATTAGAGTTATGATGTCGCTCTAATTAGGAACGGCTGGGTAGAGATGACACGGACTCTCAAGGAGTCAGATCAGGAGAATTCCTTAGTTTATTGCTTTAGCTTTGTTTTATAGATTAGTTCGTGGAAAGTACAGAAAGGAAACTCTTATTGGTTAGTTAACTGCTACATCACCATCATTGGTCAGTGGTGTACACCACCTCCTGACTTTCTCCTGCAAGGAAAACAAGAAGACAGACAAACAGCACCTGGCAGTTGTTTTCTGTCTCTGAGGAATGTTTTGAAATCCTCCTATGAATTTCTCAGGCTAGCTCTCAGGCAGGATCGAGCTCTGTGTAGCCTGTAAAAGCTACAGGCACTCTGGTTCAGATTTAGCATCCATATTATGATTCCCACTTTCCTGCTTCAGTGTTTGTACTATTTAAGAGGCAGAATAACATAATATATTTCTACCTTCTTTACTTGCAAATTGGAACTGAGTTAAAATTGGTGTGGGAAGTGTAATTTTAGGGGTTTTGACTTGTGTGCAGTGTTGCAACCATAAAGTTGCAATCTTAGCCTTTTAATTCCTTGCTTATTTTAGACAGGTGCAAATGTATGTCTGATTTTTATATTTTCTTGGCTGGTATGTCAGTTTTACATCTTTCCCTTTTTTTGATCAGAGTATATATATTCATCTCAACTTTTAAAACTTCAGTTCTTCCTTAGGTGTGAGTTGCTACATATTTTTAAGTCATTTGGTGCTAGTAAGTCATACAAGGTTTTGAAGATAATGCAGACTTAGTGGTCACTTAATCCTAGAAATCTAAAATTTTGCTGTAGCCACATTACAGTATGTTGTAAAAACAAGCAAAGGCTGCATTTTGAAACTATGAAACTCCCAATTTGTAATACAGCAAAAACCATCAATAGCAAAATTAACATTACTGTTGAGTAGGTGATGTTCTCCTGTTTGCAAATCATTGATGGAATACTTAATTTGAGAAGGGAAAGCAGTTCCCAGAAAGATTGTTTAGCTGATAAGGCCCCTGATGTTTGGTCTATCTACAGACAACTGGTTTTGGTGATTCACTGAGAAGTGATTCATACTCTTCTCTGCTGTTTGTTTGATTTACCACACAGTCACATTTGAAGAAGTGCTGCATTGCCACTGGAAAATTCTAGTTGTGTTTATACACATTTTTTCCCATCATCATTCCTTTCTGGAAGCTAAGCAGGCTGTTTTTCTAAAGAACAATATTGTTGTGGTGTGACCCTTCTTTCTGAAAAAACCTTCTTTTTTATCTCTTGAATACAGACTTCTTCCAGCTTTACAAATATGTAGTTGTTATCTTTTGTAAACCTTTGTTACTGTTCCACCTTTCTTTAGGGAACATCTTAAAATTTATTTTAAAAGGGACTTTATACTTATTTTGTGTAGCAATATTACTGTTTTGCAACGAATTGGAAATCAATTGGTTGGTAGTGTGACTTCACTTGACATAACATTTTTGTGTGTCAGAAAGTGGGTCAGATAGGCTTCTTGTTTGAGTGGTGTTTCAGAAAGGCAGGAGAGGAAGATTATTCTGAGGAAAACATTAACAGAACAGTACAGAATGATTCAAAGGAAATTCACTAGGTTATGCAGTAACACCTTGTGGGGGATAGTGAACCAGCCAACAATACACCCATCCTTCCTTGGAGGGAAGAAACTATTTAGGATACAGTTCACCACTCTCTTTAGGGGAGAAGCCTTAGCTGGCCACTTTCTCAGCTGTGGTGAAGCGAAAAGCCACCTGTCCAGCATCCTATTCAGCTCACGTTAATTCTGTGTTTCTTATTGGTTGTTCCCTTTAACACGCCCTGACCTGCAGGAGATAAAAGGTCAGATTTCTGTAAGCCCGGTAGCATTAGTACAGTCATTTCTTGGGGCAGAGAGCTGAATGAAAGCCTTCAAAGAGATGAGATATGAAGCTCTGTCTTTCTTCTGTGTCACTGAGAGCTGAATTTCACTCAGCCTTTTTAAAGGCTAAAGGTGAATTCACTATAGCAGCTGAGAGGTGCAGGGTCTCAGCACTCCACCACCACCCCAGCTGTCTATAACACCTAGCTGGGATTAAAGGTAGCAATAACCTAAGTTCCAGCATTGCTGGTGCTAGATCTTGTTTCATTTATGTATTTCCATAGCTGTTGATGTTTTGGGAAATTTTTGATTTCAGTACCTATGCAAATGTCACATTTAAATTATACAATTTCAAATTATGAGAAAAAGTCTTGAAATGCAGTTATATAAAGATAGGAAATGGTAAACCTGAGATTTTGGGCCAGTTTGTTCCCTCTTAACTCTGAGGTATGACTTTATTTTTATTTTGATTAATATTTCTTGTTGCTTTTGAAGTTTTTATATATTTGACCCATATATCACACAAATTCACATAAACCAGGATGCATATTTGGTTGTGTCTGTCTCCTTGTTTTTGTAGTTAGTGCTTCCACTTCCCTTTTTTGTCAGAATTTAGTGATTTTCCTCTATGCAGAA